TTTTTGCATAATTGCGTATGCCTGTATGATTTCTTTTATGCATGCATATATGTATGTTTTTATTACTTCAAACGTTATTTCAGCAGTTGCCCGAATTTGAAATAGACGCCCAGTTTTTAAACAGTTTTTATGAAATCTATCGGCCTGCGCACTCGAGAAATATTAAATATTTTTTTCTTTAATGTCATTTTTATTACTTCAAACATTATTTTTTTAGTGTTTTAAACTGTGTGTATTACGTCTATCGGTATGCGCACACGAATAATATTAAGTCCAACAGATGTAATACACACTTTTAAAAATAAAAACTGGATGTCTATGTCGGGGGAAAAATAAAAATAAATCCATTCATTCTTTGGAAATATATGTCTGTACATATAAATATGTATATGTGCGTTTCTCTGTGTGTTTGTGTGTATGTATTTGAGTATGTCAGCATCTTACAAGGCGCACGTTCAAAAACGCGCACACACAAATATATATATATATATATATATATATATATATATATATATATATATATATATATATATATTATGGAGAAAAGAATTTCTATGAAAGGGCGTTGCTTGTAATGTTTCTCATCTATTAGCTTTCGGTCGAAACCTATACAGTTCCAGGGACAACAGGATATGCAACAGATATGCAAAACCAATGGGCAGGGTAGATTTCGTTAATGCACTGACCGCTGTTTAAATGAGGCGGGGTTCATATATCATACATATAACCACTAGTCATATGAGAGAAATAACAACCTTGCAAAAAAAAATAACCAGTATATATATATATATATATATATATATATATATATATATATATATATATATATATATATATAATCAGATTACAGAATTTTGGCAAAAGGCCATACGTTTCAAATCATCTTGAGGACAGATCTCATTAGGTAGTAGTAATGATCTGCTTGGCTAACACGTTAACCACAACCCAAAACCAAAGAGCTCTAGATGAAGACCAATCTCATTAAATAATTGTAATGATCGGCTTGGCTAACACGTTAACCACAACCTCAAAATCGCCCCGTTATCTATCCCAAAACTCCATGCCCATTTACAGGAATTAAAGGAAAGGAAGCTGGGAAGAGCCATGATTGTTTATTTCTTGTAAGGAGATGGCAAAAACAAAAAGAAAATTATGTTAGTTTAGGATGATGCAAAATCATGTTATTTAGGCGACCACCAGGGTAGATTTGACTCTAGATCAAACTTAACCGGAAGCAGTGAATGCGTACTTATGGGTAGTAGCGGAAATATTCCCTTTCCCTCAGACTCGCGTCTTTATGAGATGACTCAAATATCAAGGACTGATAATGACTCTTCTCTTTTTATTGCAATAATAAAGGTACAGACTGGTGAGAACCTCTGAATGGAACTTAAGGATTTAGGTTAATTTTCTGCCCGGGTCACGTAAGGGGACCAATCAGTTGAATAATCTTTAAGTGTCGTGTATTTATTTGGAATGTATGGAGCACCCAGTAAGCATCGAATTACTTCTTCAAATTAAACTTGCTGTTCGTAACAAAGCGATGAACGCTCGAGACTATAGGATCAAACTCATTGTACGATTGAATTTGTCTTCAATCCGTATTCTCTTGGGATCCACAGACTCCTCCTTTTCTCCATATATCAAAACTCTAGTTAGAAAATACTGAAAAATTAAAATTTCATTCAAATATTTTAGGAAATTTCTGTTTTCATCGGAAATCAAGAAAATACATAGCTGTGAGCTCTTCCATCAGCATGGCTAATGTTAACGTCCAGGAATGTGACTCGTTGGGCCATCTTGAGCCAATGCTAACGTCCAGGAATGTGACTTGTTGGGCCATCTTGAGCTAATGTTAACGTCCAGAAATGTGACTCGTTGGGCCATCTTGAGCTAATGCTAACGTCCAGGAATGTGACTCATTGGGCCATCTTGAGCTAATGTTAACGTCCAGGAATGTGACTCGTTGGGCCCTCTTGAGCTAATGTTAACGTCCAGGAATGTGACTCGTTGGGCCATTATGAACTAATGTTCTCAGTTGACATCCTCAGTTGACATGAAGTGGAAAGAGTATATTGAATCCATTGCTAGGTCAGCTGCTAAGAAAGTTGTTTCACTGTCTCGTGATAGATAAATTTTCTCCCCCGAATCTATTTTATATATCTATAAATCTACTATTCGTCCATTCTTAGAATATTGCTGCTACATATGGTCCGGTGCCACTGCTATTTACCTTGAGCTCCTAAATAATAATCCAAAGAAGAATTAGCAATTTATCGGTTCTGATCGGTTAGCTCGGCTTCAGTCACTTTTCTACAGCTGTAAGTTTGCTGTCTGTGTTTTTTCTACAAATACTTTCATAGTAATTGTTCGGATGAGCCTTCGCTATGGTTCATAGATTTGATGAATTTTAACTCAGGACTAGACTGGTGTCGAAATCTCATCAATTTACAATTTGAGCTCTATGCTAACAGCTTCTTTTCTCGCTTTTGGAACTCCCTTCCGGCTTCATGCACTCCAGCCAACTTTAATTTGCTAAAATTTAATACAATGTCAATCGCAATCTAGCGTCTTCCTGATTTCTTTTTTTTTTTTATTCACGCTCTTTAGTAATGTTTCTGTTTCATAATTCTTCAACATCCAGTAACCCTTTGTGCCTTAGTGTCTTTACTGCCATGCTTGGGGGGAACTCGATTTAAAAAAATGATCACAGAAAAAGATTAAAGAAAAATTAAACAGACGCTAACAGATATAAGCTAAACAACCGCCTTATTTTCTTATTTTTTGCATATATTTAAATCCAAATTATAAACTATAAGTTTGGAAAGTTAAAATTTCTACAGTTCAAAAGTTTTAAGGAACCACTGGTAATTTTTTGAATTGGCCCAAGAAGTAGTTGTTTTGTACATTAAATAAGAAAAATTATCATACATGGTTAAAAAAAAGTGAGACATGATTTTTTTATTCGAAATTTTATTATGACAAAAAAAAGCATTTTATGATTAAATTTTGCGCTCGTCAAAATATTCTTTTTTTAGCTTTGATTACTGCAGCACAAATTTTTGGCATTCGCTGCAAAAGTTTCTCAAAGTATAAGTTTGATAATTGATTACATTCTTTTTTCAATGACTCTAAGAGATCTTCTTCCTTTTTTTCCACTCTGCTGTCAAAGTTCGCACAATTTCTAATTCTGGCGGGGGTGCGGTCAAACTTTTGTATCTTGGACATTTTCCAAGTTTTCACCTGATATCAAGAAAATAAAAACTTTAAGCAAAATGGTCAAAATATATGGCGAAAAGAAATTGTCAGCTAAACTTATTGATTCGTTTTTTACGACTTGACAACATTTTGCATTTAAAGGCAGAAAATATTTTTAAATTATAAAAATTTTTGTGGGAAAAATAATAATGGTTTAGGGATACAAGTCTTAGTAATTAACCTATTGCTGGTGCGGGGTGGGGAGAAAAGGCGGATTCTTACTTTTCCAAGAGTATTTGCACGTAAGTGAATATAACGATCTCAATGGGAATTGGAACTCGGCTCTCCGATTAACAATTCCGAGCCATTATCTATTAGACCACCCGCACATCCAAGCTTACAGCATCTGGTATTCCCAAGCGGTCACCCCTCTTGGTATTGACCAGTCTCGACGTTGCTTAATTTCAGTGACCGTACGAGAACCGGTGTTTCAACATAATGTGGCCGTAAACCATAACTAGACTGACGCCAATAGCATACGGGGTAAGATTCTCTAATGGTTTATCGGTGCTCAGGTTAGACGCTGACTACTTAAATGTACGAAGTTGCTTTCTTAGATAAATCATTAAAAACTGACGCGTTTATTTATTTTTTAATTATTTTTTGATAAACCAATTACAAAAAGATATACTGCAATAGGAACGAGAAAAAGAAAAAGGTTTACAAAACTGATTGTCCTTATTAATATTGAGGTCATGTCTCTAGTAAACAAACTAGGAAACGAGCGGGTAATCACCGAAGACACTACACCATTGTTAATATAACTAACAAAACAAAAGGAAGATGAAATTGAAACATAAATTATCAGTAATTGTTTTCATAGACTTGCATAAATAATCTTACTTATTATAAAACGCAGATTGTGTGTGTGTGTCTGTATGTTTATATATTGGATCGGATTTCCTACATTTTTCAACCGATTTCAACAAAACTTCACAGGACTACGTAAAATTACCTTGCGGTGGTTCTGACAACGCCAAAAATTTGAAAAACACAATTGTTTTTGCACAAAATCAATTTGAAAACACAAGTAAAAGGCATTAATGAAAGAGGGACAACTCATATCGAGTTATACTTATTAATATCGAGTTATCGAGTTATACTTATTATAAAACCCAGGTTGGTTGTGTGTGTGTGTGTGTGTGTGTGTGTGTGTGTGTGTGTGTGTGTTCGTTTATATATGGGATCGGATTTTTCAACCGATTTCAACAAAACTTCACTTTTTTTGGCAGGTAGTTTTCTTATTGTCTTGCACACTTTTTTTCTTTATTTTTACATTCAGAATGCTTTAAAAATTCCATTTACAAGACAATTGTTTATAATAAAATTCTATTAAATCGGTAGACTCATAACGATTGAAAACAATGTTTTTGTTTGAGTTTGGGTTTGACCAATTCGTAAAAAAAACAAAAAAAAAACAAAGAAAAAACAAAAAATAAAACTAATTAAGACATGCATGTCCGTCAACCTTAAACAATAATCTTTGTCAATTTTATTTTTCAGTCTTTATGATGGTCGATACTTGATCTATCTCTTACTGTTACATCCCCGGGCAACGCTGGGCTCTACTGCTAGTATATACCGGATTGGTATTTAACAAGATTATCTTATTTGACACAAGGCTACAAAAATGGGCCACCCACTGAGGCTCAAACCAGTGCATCTGACGAGCAACTATTCAACACTTTTGCCCTATCTTATACTGCGTTGGCATAAAAGTTTCTTTTCTTTTAAAGCTCTCTTATTTATATATATATATTCATAACTTTATTCAAGCAGCAAGATAGTTTTAATACAATAGTTTTCTATAAGGTTGTCAGACGATTGTAAAAGCGTTACACCCCGGGTCACAAACTCACATTAGTCAAACTAAATATCACTGATATTGAGCACTTTCAAATAAGTACCGTGCATATATAATATATAAATAATATATATAAAAATTATATATATATTTATATATATCTTTATATTTATATACATACGCATTTTACGCACACGCACACACACACACACACACACACACATATATATATATATATATATATATATATATATATATATATATATATAAATACAATAGGAAAACTGTAGTAGTTGCTGACGCGTTTCGTCCAATGTGGACTTTATCAAACCAAAAAACGAAATGAATTTATTTAAACAAAGTAACTAATAATAACAAAAAATAAAATGTCCTTAGTAACGAAAGAAATATGTCTAAAATTATAACGAAAGACATAATGTCTCCGATTATAATGAATAATTTATAAAATTACAATATTAATAAATCAATATTAAAACTATGCGTAATTCATCATTATAAATTGGTATCGTAAAAAGTGGAGTCGTTAATTTGAATTGTCCACATTTGTTTTTCTCCCATTAACTCGTTTAACCTGCCAGTTGATTTAGTCAAGAAATCTCCATTGACCGTTTAGGTCAGACGCTGTTTTGTTTTTCTTTGATAAATATTTGCAAAACAGGATTAAGCCAGAAGAAAGGTTTTGGCAAAATTTGTTAACGGCAGTGTAATCAGTTGAAACTCCACGATGAACAAACGAATCCCTGCAATGACCGGGTAAATCTTTAGCGTAAACTGCCGAAGAAAATTATATTAGCAAATTATAGTAGCAAATTTTATTCTGTGTGCGGGCCGAATACTGATCATATTCGATCGGGTTGCCCATCGAAGTAGTTCTTTGGTTATTTAGACCCGAAACTTCTAGTGACATGGGAGCAACAACACTGACGACGCACCTAGATTCGGCACTTAAAGGTGTATTTTTAATAATAATAATAATAATAATAATAATATATATATATATATATATATATATATATATATATATATATATATATATATAATTATTTTTTCTTTTTAAAAAAGATTCCTTCGCGACACAGAAATTTCTATGTTTCAAAACTGAAATTAAAGTTGTAAATTTAATTATAAACTTAAAATCCAGAGATTTGTTTCATTGTCAAAGGATGTTAGGAAAAACTTATTAAATGTTGTCCGAGTTTATAAATTAAGTAAATTTCTTAGAAAGTTGTTACTAACATCGCTTGAAAATAGAACGAAACTCTAGATTTTAAGTTTAATTTTTATAATTAAATTTACACCTTTAGTTTCAGTTTTGAAACAGTAATTTTTGTGTCACGATGGGATCATATTTTTAAAGAAAGAAAATAATTATAATATTAGGCTCTACTGTTTGTAAATGTTAAATAAAAATAATTGCTAAGAACACTTACTTTCTTTTCTTATTATTATAATATATATATATATATATATATATATATATATATATATATATATATATATAGAGAGAGAGAGAGAGAGAGAGAGAGAGAAAAATAAACAAAGAAAGAAGTATTTTTTTTTAGATATAAATAACTTACTAGCTACTATAGTTTCACCCTCATGATATTCAGGCTGTGTTAGAAACTAAACTAACTGATGATCCTGAGTGAATTATTTATATTTGCGGATAAGATTGGCTGTTCGATTCTAGGGACAGAGTTACGTTAGTTTCGGCTCCTTCAGATCAGAATAAAAGGCAAAACTGTATGTAAGGAAAATGCGTTGATATAAGAGGTACTATAAATTAAATCACCTTACCAGATATGTTATCAGAGAAAGAGTTTAGGTAAATATAAAAGTGAACACTGGGTTCAACACTAAGCGGTGACAGTCTTCTTCGTCCTTGAACGCAATCTTCAGAACATAGCCTGAAGATTGTGTTTAAGTATGAAACAGACTGTCTCCACTGAGTGTTGACTGATATATATATATATATATATATATATATATATATATATGTATGTATGTATGTGTGTGTGTGTGTGTGTGTGTGTGTGTGTGTGTGTGTGTGTGTGTGTGTGTGTGTGTGTGTGTGTGTGTGTTTAATTTTATATGCGCAGTACTTAGTGGAAAGCGCTCAATATCAGTGACAGAACTAACATATTCACTTGAATGTTGGGAACACCTGTTACTCTAAGCAAACCCCTACTACCAGAGTATACTTCCTATTTGATACCTCGGCGCAGGGTAATGGTTAGCAAGCTTCTATCGCTAGATCAGTTACGACTGAAAAGTGAGTTCAATCCTCTCTAGGTGCCCCATACTTTCGGCCTTGTGCCACATCTAGGCTACGCTTAGAATATAACTAATGGGCACCTCGGGGTGGTGTAATGGTTAGCAACCTTGTCTCGCTAGAACGATTACGACTGAGTAGTGAGTTCGATCTTCACTGGGTGCCACTTACTTTCGGCCTTGTGCCATATCTGAGCTACGCTTGGAGAAATCACTATTCGCTTGTATGGATATGAGTTTATGACCTGGATTTTACGCTTTTGCAATCATCGGATAAATTGTTTTATTTTTTTTTTTTTCGAAATAATGTATGTATGCCCCAAACGCATGGATGTGTATCTGCGCCTAGCCTCGGATTGTTTATATGAATGTGTTTGTGTGAACCAAAATGCATACACCTGTATGTATGTTTGTCTACACCTGTATGTATGTTTGTCTACAACTGTATGCATGTTTGTCTATGTGTATGAGAGTGTCACTCCAAACAAACACAGAATTAAATACCCCCTTCCCACCACTAAACATAGTCAAACAAGCATAAATGGATCCAATTTTAAAAAATAAACCAGTCTGAATATATATATATATATATATATATATGCATACACACACGCATATATATGTGGATACATACACACACACACATACACACATATATATATAGAGAGAGTGTGTTTAAATTTAAGTATCTTGGATTATAAAAATGATATATAGTACTGAATATATTCTTTTCCTAGCTGATGTACAAGAATATATTATTTTATCTGAGATTTGAATATAACATCTTTCCGATTGTCACCAACACGAAGAGAACATGCATGAACTCGCCTTCTCATTTTAAACACACTACTGCTTATCATATCAACTGGAATGACCTCCCCACACACAGTTGTGGAACTAAAACAAATCATCCTTAGAAAGATCGCAGTCATTCCAGTTTTTCATTTTTTCCGAGTATTTTTGCATATGTAAATGTTATGGGGTTTATAATTATTTTCTGAGTTATAACTCTCCTACACTCTAAACCCCCCCCCAAAAAAACAAAAAAACAAAACAGATATATTAGAACTTCGCAAGTATACGTTAAAATTAAGATCGTATGTCTTCTAAAAGCGAAAATTTTGTCTTTTTCATATTTTTTTTCCATTAGGCATAGGGTGGAAGATAAAATTCCTGCTTAGCTGTTTCCAAATTCGAAGACATCGATAAAGACAACACAAAAATGTAATCGAATCATAAACTTTTTTGTTGACTGATTGATTTGTTTTTTACGACTTATAAACAATTTGTTGGTTATTTAAAGCCGACACGTTTTATTGAGTGAATATTAACAATTAATGAATACAAAATGTACCTGAATTATATTGAATTTAAGCTGGCTGAATATAAAAACAATTTTCGAGAAAACAAGAAAGCTGAAAAAAACAAAAAAAAAACAGCATAGATTAAAATAACGGCTTTTGTACAAAAGTCGCACAATTTTCGTCTTTCACCCCAACCGAGGGACGCTAGCTTAGCGGAAATAATTATTAACGATTTAATATTGAGTCACGCACAAAGACACACACATATTTCTTTCGTTCTAATCTGAGGAAGCCTATTTAACGATGATGAAACCTGTAATCGAGTTACTTTTATGGTCCAAGTTCCTTGTACCACGGTGATGGTCCAAGGTTAGAACCAATGAAAGAATAACACGAACACAGGTATGGAATACAAAAATATATTACAACAGAAATATAATACAAAGAAGTAGAAGTATTAGTAATGACTATCAGATTTGGTTAGAGTAAACTATGTTGTCTAGACAAGTATCACTATTCCAATGTCCTTACAATATGCTCTCAATTATCTCTTCTCGTCTTACAACATCCTCATACCTCTTGAGAGGCGCAGTATTTATAATATCAGGAATAGTCCATTATTATTATGGGTAAGTTCCTATAACAGTTACTAAATCAGTTTTCATTTTCTTTTTTCAAATTTATCAAACTTTGTCTTGATTCTATACCCTATACACATTGGAAATTGAAAATGAGTTGAAATTTCTGGGGTTTGGAGAGAGGGCTTGGAAATTTTAACACTAACAGGACATAATGAAGGAAGGGTGAGAAGGGGAAACAATGATTAACTTACTTAACAGGTTTATGCAGAGCAGAGTAAGGGAAGGAGGGTAAAGGGTCAAACGATTCTGAGAGTGAGATAGGAAATTGAGATGAGCCATAATTATCTACGTCCTGAAAGGAACAATGCACATAAAATAAGATATAGACGTAAGTTAGACCTGTAGAGGCGTTTACTTTGTGATATTTTGCTATCAGTCAGTCAGTAAGGTGCCATACGTGATGAACGCCTTGCTTTGTTGCTTTCGATGCATAACTGACTAGGCAGAAGATATTCCCGCAGTAGGCTGCTGTTTCTTTCTGCGGTAGACATGTTGCCAAACAAGGCTATAGAACTCAATCTGTCTTGAATACCTTCCCTAAGGATATTTGTAAGCAAAAGTAACAAACTCGACTGAAATTCGAACCCCGATTTCTTTTTCCGAGTCGTTAACCATTACAATGAACAATCTTTATTTACAAGTTTGCTTGACACAGCGTTCTGATAAGTAAGCTGGTGCCGCAAGCCATTGCCCACGATTTAGATCGTCGTTATAAATAACAGACGATGAATTTAGAAAACACCTAAACGCCGCTTCTCATTAAATGGTGATTTGTGTATAAAGCTGTTGTTGGCGAGTAAATATTTACTGGGTGGCCTACAAGAGTGGATTTGTACCTGACTTCAATGAAGTAAATAAAGCCGCGCTCGTAAATCTTTTGTTTTTTGTTTCGGATATTTAATGAAAAATAAATCGAATTATATTCTTTGAAATGACATTTCATACGTTTCATAGATTCCATTTGAAACGCTGTTTTTTTTTTTTTTTTTTTTTGTCATTATAATTTATACATACGTGGAATTAGAAAAATCTACCCAAGTTGACGAAATAAAGGGTTCGTTCGAAACTGCAATCACCTGAAAAAGGCCAGAGCGTACAACGGCCGAAAAGTTGTGAATATGGCAACAATGATGAGGATATCACCCCAAATATTGTAAATAGTGCTCATAGAAAGTGTTTATATGAAACGGATATAAGTAGTGTCAACTAGAATATGAACTCAGCTTGCCTGTTGTTTTTTACTAATAGCAACTTTACTTTTCCTTTTCACTTGATATATGCTTAAAGAAGGTAGAGGTTTCTCTACTCTCATATATAGAAAACTTGTTATCATTGCAAAATGACGCTAGAATCGACCGGGCAGATAGTAAACGCTTTATCTTATACCCTGTTAATGTTACGTGTGGGATCTTTATGAGACATCGGTTAAGGTTTCTGATATGGCTCCGTATGTTTTTAAGGTCAATATATTTCATCTGCGTCTTTTTTTCTCACGGATCAGTGTTAATTTCTTTTTTTTTTTATTTATTTATCAATTTTAATTAATAGTACAATGTGATAATGGCTGACTTGATATCTTGCCCAGATTTCATTTGCTTTAATAGAAAGAAAATCTCTTATTTTTCTAGTTTGTTTAAAATCAACGCCTTTTCATTATTGAAAACTACAAAGTTCGCAGACTGTAATCCATCTATTTGCCAGGGTAAAAAACAAAAAAAAAAGACACAAAAAAACAAACTGTGTATAGTAAAATCTGACCTTTTGTCAGTTAACACTTTTACAGTACTTTTATCGACTCAATTGGTGGATAGTTTTCAATGTTATAATGATACAAAAGAGACACTCAAGGTAGAGCGTTACTGAATAAAGTGGTAAGAGTTCAAATTATTAGGCTATGTAGGAAAGACCATAGACTTGAAAAGGCTAAGACTGTAGCGTTCGCGGAAACATCCACTCGTGAGTCTGTTCCACGTATTAACGGCTCTTGAGTAGAAGCTGCCCGAATGGAACTTCCTCCTTATTAATGGAATATGAGGAGAATAAGGATGATTCTCTCTGTTATACATGGCATGGTGGGACTTGACTGTAAAGGTTTGAACTTTTAGAACTAATGAATCTAGCACGTCCGAACATTTGCCAAGGGAATGGGGATAAACTAGCCAAGGCTTTGTGGCGTTTTGTCTGTGGGAAAGGGTTAGTATTTACCAACATCCCTCGGGGTAGTATGTGGCACAAGGCTGATTTTAATGTGGGGCAATCCAAGCCCGTATGCTCGACCAAAAAAGATTCCCCGTAAACCCCGCATTAAACGGGATCGGTTCTGTCTACCACCCCGGACGAAACTCTGTCCTTCGGCATAGCCACGTCCGGGTTCCTCTCTGTCTTCAGGCTGAGAGTTCGACAGCACAGCTAGAACATATTGCAGCTGTTCTGTGGGAAAGGGGTTGTAGAGTGGAAAATAATCACCCACAAGGTCGCATAGATGCTTTTGAAGCCTATATATACCGAAAAATGAAGACTGGGCAGCGACAACCCAGATATCGCAGAAGTACTCCATTTTTGGTATAATCTGGCTCTTGTAAAGACAGAGGCATGGCAGGAGTAGCCAAAAACTTTCTGGGCGGCAAAAAGATCTAGCCACTTTTGAAGCATCTTTAGGGGGGTTGCTTTAGCCAAAGCCTATAATATTCTGCATCTTGAGAAAGGTATTACTCTTTTCCACGACAGCCATTGCTTAAATAGCAGGACAGTCTGGGTTCTCTAATCGTGTTTGTCGACCAGTCTAGGAGAAGGAAAACTCCATCCGGTAAAAACCTACTTGCTTCGGAAATCACAGCAACCACTAATGTGGTGAGGTTTTGGCGCTATATTCTACATTGCATTTCTAATCAAAGAAACCTATTTTCTGCATGGACATTTAGGTCTAATTTCTTATTAATTGATTTTTTACGGTTTATCATCTTTTTCAGCTTATTTAAACCCAGAAAATATGTTTAGACTGTAAGAAAGTTTTGAATATAATAATGATTTACTGGTACAAGTCCTACTAATTAACCCATAGCTAGGGGGAGAGCTGGTGGGTTCATGAAATTCTCAAGGGTATTTGCGCGTAAATGAATATAACGAAACCGACTGGGATTGGAACTCAGTTCTCCAATTTTCATTGACTAGCCTTTACCCATTTCACCACCCACACACCCAAGCTTGCTATTCTCAAGCGGTCAACCATCTAGGTAATGACCAGGCTCGATGTTGCTTAACTTCGGTGATCGTACGAGACCCGGTGTTTTAACGTGATTTGACCGTAAGCCATTTAGGTTGGCAGTAAATGGAATATATACGATTTATTAAAACTATCAAGTCTTTTGTGTGTGTGTTTTTTTTTCAAGTATTCTATTTACATTATTCAGACTATCGTCCCCATCTTTGTTGCCATTTATCATAACGTTTCAGCCGTTGTATGCTCCGGCCTTCTTCAGGTGGTTGGAATGTCGAACTGAACCCTTTATTTCGCTCGCTGGGGTAGACTGTTCTACTTCCATGTCTAATGGATGTCAGTTATCAGTTATCTCCTGTTAATTCCCCTCTCCAAGTTCTCCACCGCTTAATCAGGTATTGAACTCACACTCTTTGGGTCCTGTCACTGGATCTACGTAAACGCCTTCATCCACTGTGCCATGTGTCCTTGAGAACATCTGTGTGTGAATTTCTGGGTATTATAACCCGAAACGTTGTGATAAAAATGGCAACAAAGATGGGGACGATAGTCCGAATAATGTAAATAGTGTACATAATACTTCATCTCAGAAATATAGACAGATACTATCAAGTATTATAAATTATACTAGTGCTGAGACTGTACCTGGAGAGTCACTGTAGGGGTGAGATAACATCAAAGAGGAGACATTTATACGAATAAAATCTTTTGTCAAGAAATGCAGGAATTTCTTTTCATCAACTTAATGTTTTCATCTATCTTTTCAGTTCTTAAAAATGTCTACCTTGATTAAAATCACCTTTTTTATTGAAATCTTTTTTTCTTAAATTACAGGTGATGACTCCAGACGTTGACTTGAACAAGTTGTTACTTCTCCACATGAAATACTGACCAAAATTCTATGTTGAAAATATCTCCTGCAGGTAAAAAAAATGATTCTCTGACATGTTTCGGCTGTCTTCCTGATTACTCTCTCCTCCTCTTGTTCATCCTTATTTTTCTCTTCCTAATTCTTCCACACTCTGTAACCCCTTGTGTTTTAGTGACATTACTGCCTTGCATGGGGTGATAACGATTAAAAACAAAATATGTACATATTTTCTTCCATTCTAAATGATAAACTCTCCGCTGTCTGAGGCAGCCCGATCCAATCTTGCCTTCAATATGTCGTGTAAAGTTTCAAATTCTCCTAGCCTTCTTTCATCATGATATGTACCAGAAACTTCAACCGTCTCTTTTTGACTCTAAAATAAATGTAAGTTCTTTGTTTCCACTTTCCTCTAAACTACCTCACTACTCACAGATTCCTAACACAGAATTCTCAGTATCCTTCTGTAGAAACATATCTCATCTTGGCTCAAGTCATCAACATTTATTGCCATATTGAAGGAGTGACTAATTTGGTAAAGACTAATTTGGGATTAATGTTACATAATTGTCGAGAATTATTTTCTCTTTTCTAGAATCAATTTTTAACGAAATTTCCTTGTTTCTTTTATGGAAGCCCATTTTAGCAATTCCATGTCGCCTTCGGATTTCGGTGCTACATTATTCGTTGTCTTTTAAAACACTTTTCATGTAGTTGAATTTCTGTACTCACTTGATTTTGACTTTTATTATTCGTAGTTCCTCTTGCGGACAAAGATACATTTCTGTCTTCTTACTATTGATAGTTAGTCCTTTCTTCCTACTTTCCTTTACTAACTTATCTAGAAATTCCTGCATTTTTCTTTCTATGGCTACCATTAATATGATATTATCAGCGTATCTTACGTCGTTAAGATTGTGCCTACCAATAATAAATCCTCGTTGGACTTCTAGTTCTCTTAGGATTGCCTCCCTTTATATTTTAAATAAATCCGGCAAGAAGATGCATCATTGTCTTACGCCCCACTTTGTATTTTTGCGTATTTTCCCAATTCATTTTCAATCCGAATGCGATCGGTTTGCTCTATAAAATATATATTCTGGATTATTCAAATATCTTTCCCAAATTAGTCAAGTTTTCCTGGCAGTTCAAATAAATCTTTGTGTCGTATCTTATGAAATGAATTTGCGTAGCCTAAGAAGCATAAGTATATAGTCCGACCTCTTTGACTCGACAAGCTTGGGAACATATATTTGCCGGACCATAGAAATTACCGGATGACAGACATTACCATTAAAAACTACTTCAAGCTAGCTTGCCAGCTCATTCCACATACATATAGCTGTGTTATTAAAAGGTAGAACATATATATATATATATATATATATATATATATATATATATATATATATATGTATGTATCCTCTTCATCTCCCTCCATATATATATATATATATATATATATATATAGGTATGTATCCTCTTCATCTCCCTCCAGCTATGGGTAAAATAGCAGGACAGACTGGGTTCTATAGCCTTGGATGGCAACTGGTCTAGGCGAAGGACAACTCTGAATTCAAAACCTGCGGAGGGTCGTTTGGGAACCTTGTGGCATG